CCATAGTAATGTCCTCCTATCAAGACTTCTACTGCAAGAAGGAACGACGCTTCACCTCGGGTGAGCTCACCTGGCTTAAGGGCTCCGAGCAGGTCTGGGGAGGGCGTGGCCAGAAAGTTCATGGGAGGCTGAGGAATGTCCCTGAGGCAGGGGGACCTTAGGTACCCACTGGACAGGCCAGGTAGGTAGGACAGTCTCCGAGAGAGACTGCTACAGTCTGGAGGGGAGTGAAGCTGGCGTGCGCAGAGCTGGACGGCTAACAGCCCTGAACACTGACCTGACCGCACACGCACACTGGAATCGTGCGGAGGCCTGGACACGGGTCTGGAGATTTTGTCAGCAGCTGGCGAGCAGAGCAACGGTCATCCTGGTTTCCAGGAGAGACCCAAAGAAGTAGCGGGATTGCACTACGGCTGGCTGGAACCAAGCGAGCCCGCCATGATGCTGTTGCGTGTCCCACCAGGGCGATGTCATGTGCGGGTGCTGCCCCCAGTGCCCACAGAAGGGCTGAGACCAGATGACGTCCCCGCGCTGGCAGACCGAGTCCGGCACTCCATGCTCACCATCTTCCGGGAGATCTCCACGGATGGCCTGGGTGGCGGTGACTGTCTGAAAAGGCCTGGGGGAGCGGGCGAGGCCCGGCTCTGAGCTTCCTCCTACCCTTCCCATCTTGTCCCCTCACCTCTGACCCAGCGCCTCAGGCAGGGCCAGGCCCCCTTCCTGGGTCCCCACTCCCTACTCTCCTTTGGGAATCTTCAACTTCTGAAGTGAATATGGATACAGAGTCACTCCACGCCCTTTCCCTGCCCACCCATGGACTCTCCGCTCCGGTCCCCGCCTGCCATCTTGTCTTGTGGGACAGCTGCCCCCCCTCATGTCAAGTGGCTCATCGGATACCAGGGTGGGGGACATTCCATCCCATCCCTCCCCAGTGGTCTCTTTGTGGCCTTCTCTCCCTCTCCACCCCACACTGGACAATGGACTCATGTGTTCTGTGGAACAATCCACCCCTCACCCCAAGTGAGGGCCACACAGACTGAGTGGGCCCATCTGCTAGTGAGGACTCCTCATCCTGTGGCTGGAAGCTGAGCCTGAACACTCCTCACCGGCTCACCTGGGGATCTTCCTCAACACTGTCACCCTCAGTGGGGCTGGGCTCTTGTAACTCAGAAGTCTCACCCCTGCCTGTGCCCAGGGCTGAGCACACTCCAGATGCCAATTTCTGCTTCCCCCGTCCCCTTGGTAGAGGTCTTCAGGGTCCTGGCCTGGCACCATCTAACCAAATTCTGCAGGGGTGGACCTTAGAAGCTGCGTTCTCTGTTCCCTGGGGCCTTGGGGGAAAGAACCTGACCCTGGTGAGAGGGAGAGGGGGGGCACTTAATTTATTTCTTTCTTTTGAGGGACTCCCTCTCTGAGCAGTTTTCATTTCCTCCCAGTGGCATTGGCCACTCACTCCCCCTGCCTCCGACTCTAGACCCATTCCTAAGACCCAGGAGGTAGGCTGGGGGCAGAAGGAACGGGTGGAATCCAGTTTTGTGTGGTTGGTTTTTATTATCTGGGTAACAGCAAGCAACTGAGAATAAAGAAAAAGAGATCCGGAGTTTTCTGTGGCTCTTTGCGCCTCGGTGGTCGATACCCCCATCTGCCAATCCAGACAGCGCAGTTTGCAGTTTCCGTATAAATCAGGGGTTCAGGCTGCTGCCGAGTTCTTGTCAACCGTGTAAGTTTGGGCCCAGGCTGTTGTCCTCACAGGCACCTAGTGAATGGCAAAGGGGCAAGATGGCTGTGGTCAGGAGGGAGCAGTTCTCGGGGGAGGGCTTCAGGCGTGAGATGCTGGCTTTGACACTGCTGTCTTCAGTTCTGGAGGAGGAGTGGGAGGCACTCACAGGCACCCAGCTTTTCCTCAAGCAGCAGCACTTGGTCACTGAGGGACTCGATCCTGTCACCCCGGCCCCACAGCTCAGCCACCTGTTCGGGCTGCAGCTCTTCAGGCGGCATGGGCAGCACTGCTCGGACCCAGGCCCCAGCCTGTGCGGCCCACTGCAAGGGAAATGGTGCCTCAGGGTTCTGGCAGGGTCCTGGGGGCACATGCACACCCCACACTCCCCCCTCACCCCCCGCTGCCGCTTCTCCCTGCTGCTCGCCTGCTCCAAGCGGTCCAG